CATAACGTTGGTTCTGATCAATACATTATCACGCATTTTCACTTCTGGTAAGTCCGACTTGACAATGTGATTGTTCAAAGAGAACCATGACACTGATTGTCATGGCTGATTGTCTGTCCCTAACTGTGTGATGCTGTTATTTCTAAGAAATGGCTTATTGTCTGTCCCTAACTGTGTGATGCTGTTATTTCTAAGAAATGGCTGATTGTCTGTCCCTAACTGTGTGATGCTGTTATTTCTTAGAAATTGCTGATTGTCCCTAACTGTGTGATGCTGTTATATCTTAGAAATTGTTGATTTTCCCTAACTGTGTGATGCTGTTATTTCTGAGAAATGGCTGGTCGTCCCTAACTGTGTGATGCTGTTATTTCTGAGCATGTCTGAGTCCTCTGCTGTGGTTCCAATAGAGGTTTTGTTTGATTTGCATGCTTATCCTCTTGGCTTTTCTTCCTGTGTCTGGGATGTGACCGTTATTCATGAGTGTGTCCTGATGTCTGTCCTTGAAAGTCCCTGGTCTCGTTGGTTGTCTCTCTTCTTCTATTCTGTGGTCCTGATATAGGTCAGTTCTGTTAAGGCTGCATGTTGTTCTCTGAATGTACCAGGCTACTCTGTAGTTTTCTCTCTGTGTGTTTTGTGGTCTGCCTTTTTTCTGGTAAACTCTGTTGATTCTAGTGCAAGAATATTCTAGTTATAATTTCCTCAGGTTTTCTCAGTCTGTGTCCTATCCAATACCCAGCATCTTTTTTTCCTATCTTTTTTCGCGAAAATTATGTTTACTCCCTTACCAAATCAGCACATATTAAAATTCTATCATGCCATTGTAATTCCCTCTGTTCTGCATAGGCACCAGTTAATGAATGTTTCAAGTTATTAGTAAATGTTTTAGTTGTTCTCCAAGCTTCAGTCTCTATACAGCAGGACTGATTTGACATAACAGCTTAATATTTTTTAAGTTTCGTATTAGTTTTTAGTCTCCTTTGACCTCCACATATTTCCAACATGGAGCCTCAACAGAACTGACCCCTATCAAGACCACAGAATAGAAGAAGAGAGACAACCAAACGAGACTAGGGACTTCGAGGACAGACATCAGGACACAGTGACCCATTGAGAGAATAGCACCACACCAAACAGGATATAAGGAGAACAACCCTATAAAATGTCTCTTGCCATTATGTATTTGTATCTCTGTATTCCCCTGCTGAAATGAATGTGTTTTTTTTCCCTCCAGTAAAAGAAAAAACCGGAGTTGAAAATGAGAAAACCAGCAGGTGCTGTGTCTATGTTTGGTGGGATAGATCCTACAGCTGTGTTGAACAAGAAACCCACACAGCCTTCACAAGAGGACCAGGCCAGCAAGGATGTTAACAGAGATGACAAGCGACACAAAGAAGGATGACAAGCAGACTCCGACAGAGAAAGAAATACCACAGCAAAAACACCAGCAAAAACACACTCAAACCAAAAACTATGTATGTTTATGAGTTTGTGTTCAGTTTACCTGCCTAGATAGGGAAGGTGTGCGGCGGTTTGTCTGGCTTAGAAGTTAGTGAATGTGTTTTAATAATTTCATGATTCTTTGATGTACTTGGCTTAAAATTTTACTGAGTTTTATTTTAAAAAACCGTCCCCCTGGTTTGGGACAGTGGTAAGAGAGAGTCAGCACCGTGGAAGTGAAGTACTCACAAATATAGCAGGTAATACACTGAAGCCAACCTTGACTGTGGAGATGGCACATTTTCCCCCCAGAAAGACACGGGCTGGTATATCAGTCAGCAGCTGGGAGTTGCCGAAGCACAGAATGTTTGCCTGCGGCTAGGCTGGTTATTAGTTCACATTAATATTGAGGCGGACTTTAAAAATGTATCCCACGTCTGAAGACGGCTTAGACAAAAAGAATGAAACCAGGAAATTTTCCCCAAGTGTTGATTGTCTTTACAGAAGGTTGCTTTCTTCATAGCACACCTGAAAGTTTCTCTTTCTCTAGCCACTTCTAGTCCCAAGCGCTTTCATAGCCAATGCATCCTCAGCATTTCGTATCCCACATTCACGGGTTGTGTCTAGCTGTCAGATACCAGTTGTCAGTTGTGTCTAGCTGCCAGATACTAGTGGTCAGTTGTGTCTAGCTGTCAGATACCAGTGGTCAGTTGTGTCTAGCTGTCAGATACCAGTGGTCAGTTGTGTCTAGCTGTCAGATACCAGTTGTCAGTTGTGTCTAGCTGCCAGATACTAGTGGTCAGTTGTGTCTAGCTGTCAGATACCAGTGGTCAGTTGTGTCTAGCTGTCAGATACCAGTGGTCAGTTGTGTCTAGCTGTCAGATACCAGTGGTCAGTTGTGTCTAGCTGTCAGATACCAGTGGTCAGTTGTGTCTAGCTGTCAGATACCAGTGATCATTTGTGTCTAGCTGTTAGATACCAATGGTCAGTTGTGTCTAACTGTCAGATACCAGTGGTCAGTTGTGTCTAGCTGTCAGATACCAGTTGTCAGTTGTGTCTAGCTGTCAGATACCAGTTGTCAGTTGTGTCTAGCTGTCAGATACCAGTGGTCAGTTGTGTCTAGCTGTCAGATACCAGTTGTCAGTTGTGTCTAGCTGTCAGATACCAGTGGTCAGTTGTGTCTAGCTGTCAGATCCCAGTGGTCAGTTGTGTCTAGCTGTCAGATACCAATGGTCAGTTGTGTCTAGCTGTCAGATACCAGTGGTCACTTGTGTCTAGCTGCCAGATACCAGTGGTCAGTTGTATCTAGCTGTCAGATACCAGTGGTCAGTTGTGTCTAGCTGTCAGATACCAGTGGTCAGTTGTGTCTAGCTGTCAGATACCAGTGGTCAGTTGTGTCTAGCTGTCAGATACCAGTGGTCACTTGTGTCTAGCTGTCAGATACCAGTGGTCACTTGTGTCTAGCTGTCAGATACCAGTGGTCAGTTGTGTCTAGCTGCCAGATACCAGTGGTCAGTTTTGTCTAGCTGTTAGATACCAATGGTCAGTTGTGTCTAGCTGCCAGATACCAGTGGTCAGTTGTGTCTAGCTGTCAGATGCCAGTGGTCAGTTTTGTCTAGCTGCCAGATACCAGTGGTCATTTGTGTCTAGCTGTCAGATACCAGTGGGCAGTTGTGTCTAGCTGTCAGATACCAGTGGTCAGTTGTGTCTAGCTGCCAGATACCAATGGTCAGTTGTGTCTAACTGCCAGATCTCACAGGTCAGTTTAGCTGCCAGATCCCAGTGGTCAGTTGTGTCTAGCTGTCATATACAGTGGTCAGTTGTGTCTAGCTGTCAGATCCCAGTGGTCACTTGTGTCTAGCTGCCAGATACCAGTGGTCAGTTGTGTCTAGCTGTCAGATACCAGTGGTCAGTTGTGTCTAGCTGCCAGATACCAGTGGTCAATTGTCTTTGCTGAAAGGGTTTGTTTTAAAAAAAAAAATGTGTGTCATCTCTACATTGGAGGTTGGCCATGGGAATATTTTGTGGGAGGTTTCCAATCTTTTCCACGGTATGACTCTTGTACCACTATCTTCTTCTCTGTGTACCTTCAAATACGTAAATGTGTTGTGCCCATTTTACAGCATGGGCTACGATATTTGTACCTTTCGGCTGGCACATTCGACCTCTGCAGGCTTTTGTTGACTGTGTTAGCCTTCCCCGCTAGTTTTATGGGACACTGCAATCTCTTTGTTGTGTGGTCATCTTTGTTTCCCAGTTCACAGGTTGTGCCAACAGTCAGGTCAGTCCAGAGCAGCCACTTAATGCTGGTCCGCCCTCAAGAGAAGGCAGGGGCAGGTCATGAGCATACCTCGCCATACAAGGAGGCTTCCATAAATGCAGAGCTAAAATATGGCTCTGGTACTGGGCTCACCCAGGCAATCATCATATCCTGCTCATGACTGTTAAACCTCACTTCTGCATGCTGAGCTTGCCATTCATCAGTTGCTGCATCTTTAGAAGCCATCAGGAGGTACACAAGTAGTATTAAGACCTGGAGTTTTGATTACCTACACAGTACCACGGTCTCAAAGAGAACAGTTGCCTTCTTTTTTCCCTAACCCGCCCACAATGTACATCAGGCTCTTGTATATATAGTAAGGATTGTTCACTAACCTCTGAGCCCAAGAGTCACACTGGGAGTTCATTCACAACTATTTTTTTTGACCTGGCATCTTTCAGGTTAGAAGCTGACACCATTTCTCTGGACCACTGAGGTTCTATTTCTTATGTTCACTTTTCTGTCTCTTATTTCCAGCCACAGATCTGTTCATTGGTGGCAGCGATGATGATGATGATTACTTGTTCTCACCAAAAGTAACCATTAAAACAACAGTCAAAGGAGATACACTAGAGGAATCAACAGATGTATCCACTAAGGTGAGAGATTCTTCTTCTTCATCTTCTAGTTTCTTTTTCTTCTTTATCCCATTCACCATCTGTAAACTCCAGCAGAGAGTTCTGCTTGTTTGCTCTCTTCTCGACTTCTTTGGTTTTGTTCTAGAACTTGGTTTTGAGTGCACATCCGTTTCACAAATCTGGCTTTTGTGTGTGTAGATTATTGGTTTGTCACAGCGGATTGGAAAAATTGTAGCAGAGGGTATGGTATCATGAAGTAGATGCAGGGCCCAACCAGCATGAAGATGGGCATAAGATATAAGTCACACCATGGGTAGGAATGTTTGCCAGCCAGGCGGGAGATCTGGGGAGAGATTGAGTTTCTTTCAGGCAGACAGTCATCAGAGCAGTGTTCTGCAAAGGACCTGTTACATGATCATGTTTAATTTATGTTGTATTTTGAATTGTTGTCATGTAATAAGGTCTTATTCCCTTTAAGCTGGGTTTGCACCTGTTGTATCCAGGTTTTTATATTAACTTAGATATTTGTAATTGTTTTTTTTTTTTTTTAAACATGCGATAGTACATATTATTTTATTGAAATAATAATTGTCTCTGTTACTGTAAAGCATTTCTATCACTTTGGGTTTCTACAGAAAGGGGCTGCAACTCCAAAAGTAGAAGCCATGAAACCCTGGAAACCAGCAGGTGCTGTCCCCTTGTTTGGTGGTGTAGATCCACTGGCACTTCCCAAAAAGCAGCCGGTTATCGAAGTGAAGGATGGGACACCAGAAGAAGGAAGTGATCAGGAGAAGTCATCACCACCTCGGCCAGCACCAAAACCAAAAGTGATTCCAAGAGAAAAGTCTGATGAGAATTTGAAGATTAAATCTCAAAATGGGTCAGGTGAGTGCTGGTGTGCCAACCGGGCATTTTGATGATTGAGTGGGCAAGAATTGAGTGGGCATCTGTTCTCACTGTTGCATTGTCGGCGAGTTGATAATCCTATCATGTAAAAACTTTGATAAATTGGTTATTTATAAATTATTATTTTTTAAAGAAAAAAATTAAATAAAACAATACCTAGAACAGGAGGTGCAGCTTAAATTTGGCAGAAAAGTGTGCCTGGTTGGGCTTTCAGGTTACTGGATGATTAAAAGTCTGTCTATTTCAGCTTTTACATTGTTAATGAATTGATAGCTTCATCGGAGCTTTGATAAATCTGTTAGAAATAGTTTGTGGAGAAGAGGAAACAAGAGAAGAGGTGAATGCAATCAGTAACTCATAGCTTGAATGCTTGTGTCAGAGTCAGCAAACCAGAATGTGTACAGTGCTGTTAATTTTCATCATGTTATAATTTCTCTCTTAAAGTGGGTTTGCAGGGGGATAATTTCTCTCTTAAAGTGGGTTTGCAGAAAGATAATTTATCTCTTAAAGTGGGTTTTCAGCAGGATAATTTATCTCTTAAAGTGGGTTTGCAGGAGGATAATTTCTCTCTTAGAGTGGGTTTGCAGGTGGATAATTTATCCATTCAAGTGGGTTTGCAGGTGGATAATTTCTCTCTTAAAGTGGGTTTGCAGGAGGATAATTTCTTTCTTAAAGTGGGTTTGCAGGAGGATAATGTCTCTCTTAAAGTGGGTTTGCAGGTGGATAATTTCTCTCTTAAAGTGGGTTCACAGGAGGATAATTTCTCTCTTAAAGTGGGTTTGCAGGAGGATAATTTCTCTCTCTTAAAGTGGGTTTGCAGGTGGATAATTTCCCTCTCTTAAAATGGGTTTGCAGGTGGATAATTTCTCTTTTAAAGTGGGTTTGCAGGTGGATAATTTCTCTCTTAAAGTGGGTTTGCAGGTGTATAATTTCTCTCTCTTAAAATGGGTTTGCAGGTGGATAATTTCTCTTTTAAAGTGGGTTTGCAGGTGGATAATTTCTCTCTTAAAGTGGGTTGGCAGGTGGATAATTTCTCTCAAAGTGGGTTTGCAGGGGGATAATTTCTCTCTCAAAGTGGGTTTGCAGGTGGATAATTTCTCTCAAAGTGGGTTTGCAGGGGGATAATTTCTCTCTCAAAGTGGGTTTGCAGGTGGATAATTTCTCTCTTAAAGTGGGTTTGCAGGAGGATAATTTCTCTTAAAGTGGTTTTGCAAGAGGATAATTTTTCTCTCTTAAAGAGGGTTTGCAGGTGGATAATTTCTCTCCTAAAGTGGGTTTGCAGGTGGATAATTTCTCTCTTAAAGTGGGTTTGCAGCAGGATAAAATTTTTGTATCTGTGGCTTAGGTGTTGCAAATACACTTTGTAATGTCATGGTGCCAGATTGTATCCCAGCTGTGGGTGATTAAGCAGCAGACCACCCAGCATAGGTTTCAAGTTTGATTGTGAGCTGTCCATTGGAAAGCAGTGGCAAAATACCAAATATAAAATTGCCTAGTGAAATCACAAAGAGAGCCAAGAAATGCTGGGGTTGGTTGTACAATGCCCTGTAAATGATATGCAAAAAAACAAGACAAAACACACACTAACAAAATGTAAAAAAAACCTGGCTATGCCTCCCTCTTATGTATGTCAATGAAGCAGTCTCTGTCAGTAAATAAATGTTTTATCTTGCACATAGAACTGAATGTATTCTGTATGTATTTGGTTAGCTCTTATTGGATGACAGTTAACTTTCCAGTAATCCTGGTTTCACTTTTTTTTTTTTTTATTAAAAAAAAAAGTTCAGTAAAACCTAAAAACTGTTAAAAGGAGTAATTAAAGGTCATAGAGTTGACCTCATTGCATTGAGTTTATCCTTTTCTTTCTTGATCTTTTTCTGCATTGCCTGGTTTGTTTCTGAGAGAAATGTATGAAAAACACACTCCAGAAATGATACTGCAAGGATCTCCAGAAAATATGATACCCATGAACCAAACGATGTAATCAAAAATTGACCCCTTTTCTTTTGAGATAAATGACCTTGCCATGTTTGTGGACAGAGTAAATTGTTTTTGCTGTTATAGAATGAGTATGACTAGTGCCACATGCTCCATTGAACCCCATAATGCTGCATGCCCCATAGAGCCCCAAAGTGCCACATGCTCCATTGAGGAATAAAGTGCCACATGCCCCATGGAACCCCAAAGTGCCACACGGTCCACTGGCCCATAGTGCTACATGCTCCATTGGCCCATAGTGCCACATGCTCCATTGAACCCCATAGTGCCACATGCCCCATGGAGCCCCAAAGTGCCACATGCCCTATTAAGCCCTAAAGTGCCACATGCCCCATTGAACCCCATAGTGCCACATGCTCCATTGAACCCTATAGTGCCCCATGCCCCAAAGTGCCACATGCCCCATTAAGCCCTAAAGTGCCATATTCCCCATTGAGCCCCAAAGTGCCACATGCTCCATTGAACCCCAAAGTGCCAAATGCCCCATTGAGCCCCAAAGTGCCACATGCCCCATTGAGATCCTAAAGTGCCACATGTCCCATTGAACCCCATAGTGCCACATGCCCCATTGAACCCCTCAGTGCCACATGCTTCATTGAACCCCATAGTGCCCTATGCCCCAAAGTGCCACATGCCCCATTGAGCCCTGAAGTGCCACATTCCCCATTGAACTCCAAAGTGCCAAATGCCACATTGAGCTCCCCATAGTGCCTTATGCCCCATAGTGCCCTATGCCCCATAGTGCCCCATGTCAGTAGCCATTAATTATTTGAATAGTGTCTATGAAAACTGGCTGGTTGTAACTAGGTGTTGTTTGTTTCATCAGCAAAACTGGCTGGTTGTAACTAGGTGTTGCTTGTTTCATCAGCAAAACTGGCTGGTTGTAACTAGATGTTGCTTGTTTCATCAGCAAAACTGGCTGGTTGTAACTAGATGTTGCTTGTTTCATCAGCAAAACTGGCTGGTTGTAACTAGGTGTTGCTTGTTTCATCAGCAAAACTGGCTGGTTGTAACTAGATGTTGCTTGTTTCATCAGCAGCTGCAGATTTGTTTGGAGATGGCAATGACAGCGATGACTTGTTTGGTGTCAGCAAGCAGAAGTCTCCACCACCAGTTGCTCCAAGGTCTCATTCTTCTCTAGCAGCATCAGTTGACCCTTCCAAATCTGAGGTGAGTTGATATATTAGTGCCTGTATGTCGTGTAAGAGCCCAGTGTCTGAGGTGAGCTGATATATTAGTGCTTGTATGTCATTTGAGAGTCCAGTGTCTGAGGTGAGCTGATATATTAGTGCTTGTATGTCGTTTGAGAGTCCAGTGTCTGAGGTGAGCTGATATATTAGTGCCTGTATGTCGTGTAAGAGTCCAATGTCTGAGGTGAGCTGATATATTAGTGCCTGTATGTTGTGTGAGAGCTCAGTGTCTGAGGTGAGCTGATATATTAGTGCCTGTATGTCGTGTAAGAGTCCAGTGTCTGAGGTGAGCTGATATATTAGTGCCTGTATGTCGTGTAAGAGTCCAGTGTCTGAGGTGAGCTGATATATTAGTGCCTGTATGTTGTGTGAGAGCTCAATGTCTGAGGTGAGCTGATATATTAGTGCCTGTATGTCGTGTGAGAGCCCAGTGTCTGAGGTGAGATATTAATTTCCAGCTGAGGTCTGAGAGCCCGAACTCTGAGATAAGTTTAGAGATATTAGTTCTTAGCTGAAATAAGAGAGCCCAATATCTGTGGTGAATTTAGAGTTTTTAGTTCCTAACTGAAGTAAGAGAGCCCAAAGTATGAGTGTGTTTAGAGATGTTAATTCCAACCTGAAGTGAGAGCTTTCAGTTTTTGGTCTTGGAGAGAGGAAGAAAAGCTCTGTTAAAAAATACAGGCCCTTTGAAGATAACAGGTGTTGGGTTGAGAAAGTCCCTTTGAAGATAGCAAGTGTTGGGTTGAGAAAGTCCCTTTGAAGATAACAAGTGTTGGGTTGAGAAAGTCCCTTTGAAGATAACAAGTGTTGGGTTGAGAAAGGGAGATGACAGCATGTCTTGTTTAGTTATTTACATATCTTTTTCATTGTACTAAGGGATTTTCAATATGGAATCTGCAGCTTGAGGAAAATACCAAGCATCAGCAATACAGGGGCTTACTTAGATATACTGTCTGGGATATGCGGGAGTGCAACGGAATGAACAAGCTGATTGCTTGGCTACCAAAACTCTAGCTACAGGGACCTGCATATTTGATAATGCAAACATTCTGAAGACCACTTGACCACTTGTGAACGAACGAACACTGATGGAATATCTGATGTTAGATGAAATAATCAGGATTTATGAATTTGGAATTTGGTCAGGTCTTGTAAGAAAGAACATATGACAGGGAGAGTATGGTGTGTGTACAACCAGCATGTTATCTGAACAGTCCACATCTACACATGGAGACATTTGCTGTGATAGATGCAGCTTCTGTGGGTATGCCCATTAGGTTATAATGTAAACTCTTCAATGAGTAATCTCCCCTTGTGGGCTCCAGGAACTCCTTTGTTGTATGGGTGGGTAGGGGGCGCATGTGAATCATTACGGATTTTTCCTTTAAAGTTAAAGGGCTGTCTGAGAAGCGAAGAACCAACAGTCTGCATACTATTAAGCCAGTTGTTAAATGGATGTACGTGCAGAAGTCAAATTCTATAACAAGAATAAAGTCCAAAAGTGAGCAACAAAAACAGAACTTTCTGCCAGAGTTTATAGCCAGTGATTGCTCAGAAAAATAAGAAGAGAAATCAGTAATCTTCTGTTGTTGTCATTATTTGTCAGATTTATCTAAAAATTTATGTGTTGACTTATAATTACAGATAGCGCCACAATCACCTTCAGCTGTGCGGTCAAAAGTTCTTGCTGGGGCAGTGCCAATGTTTGGAGGAATGGATCCATTTGCTGGCGTGAAGAAAAAACCATCCTCGGAGCAGGAGGAAGGTAGGGTATCATTTGTAGTGATGATAAGTTTGGAGGGCAAGCAATTAGGAAGTCAGATTGAATGTTGGAGATGGGTGTATACCAAATCTTGAATTAAGAATTGTTAGCACAGCACTTGGGACACTCCAATAAGTGCTTTGTCCCCCCTCTTCAGCAGCAAGCGTAGCGTTTCAATTCCAGTGGCACCAGTAACAGTCTGATTGTATGTCTGTGTCCCCTTTCCTTTGAATGTTGGCCTTCAGGCAGTTCCCCTGATCACTTCTCACAGCACCATTCTTCCCAGACCCTGATAATCTTTGCCTCTGTACTGTTCATTCACTCCCAAAGGACCCTTATAATATCTAGCTTGTTGTAGACCCTGATCATCTTTGCCTCTGTACTGTTCATTCACTCCCAAAGGACCCTTATAATATCTAGCTTGTTGTGCTTTTGTTTACCACCAAGTAGTGAAGACCCTGCCAGTCTATCTGTCTGCTCAATTCCAAACACACCGGCAGGACCTGGAGAAAATATCCTAAGGATACTATCTACTCAATGTAGCAATGATTTCTACTCTGCACGAAGCGTACCTGTTTCCACCTTTCTGTGTGAGTCATTTACAATTATGACATGTGTAGAGGGAATAGATTATATCTCACAGAAACAAAAATAATCAAATACAGTGATGTTCTGAAGACAAAGGAAATAAAAAGAGAATTCCGGAAATAAATACAAAGAGACAGTTGAAATATTTCGGCCGCCTGAAAAGGAAAAACACCATTTTAAAAAACATACTGGAAAGAAAAATGTAAGTCAAGTGAACAAGAGATAGACAGTGATACAAGTGGGTGTATAACATCAGAAGATGATTGGACAGCAGTCTGAGAGAAGACAACCAGGACAAGAAACAGAGAGTGTTGGAGATCTATTGCAGACAACCTTCACTGTGGAGATGGTGCCTGATTGATTGATTGATTGATTGATGAGTTTGGAAAATTTATTATAGAGAACATATTTTGGCTAGCAATATATGAACATTTGCTTGTTGTTTTGTAATACTCTGGAAAATCTATGTTTAGCTCTGTAAATCTAGACTTTACTTTAATATGCAGCCTCTCTTAGACATCTCATTTCCGTGTTTTTACATTTGTTTGTCTGGTTTGTTGTAAGTGAACATGTATGATACTGCTGGGGCACTGAATATGCTTTGTATGAGATGTGTCTTTGTGGTGGCTGGGACTGTCTTATGCTGTAAGTGGGGGAACTTGCCGTCCCAGTACTTGGTTTTACAGATCTATACAATGTAATTTTTGTTCTTAACCTCATATTCTGTTTTCTTTTTAGGACCAAGCTCACAGAAAGAAAAACCTGTAAGTCTGAATGTTATGGTACTGTTTTATTTTCTGTTGTTTATTTTAAATGTTATTTTTTGTGTGTGTGTCATGGTGTCTGTTGTGGCATTGTGAGAGCATGGGCCTGCCAAAACAGGGGTCCTGGTTTAATCTCCAGCACTAAGTGGTTACCCCATGTATAAGACCACCCCTGCTTCATTTTGCCCACAATTAATTAAGAAATCAATATTTTTTCTATCACATTCCATGTATAAGACAATCCTCAGTTTTACAATAAAAAAAAATTGGGAAAGCATATTCGTTGCTATATTGGTTTGGGGAAAATAGTAGTGGCATGAATGGTTCCTAGCAGAAGAGGCAGGGGTCAACCAGCAGGACGGTGAACAGAAGATATCAAGGATATCTTGGACGTAAAAGTTTATGAGGGAGAAAAGGTTGCCAGGGACCAACTAGCTTTTCCACCTTCTTTGATCATAGCAGTGTTCTGCAAAAACCCTAGTACGGGATGATGATGAAATAATAGAGGATAGATAATAGAATATGGAAAAGTTATGTAGGAACTTGATAGTTGTTGTATCGTCTCAGGGAGCTATTTATGTGACTGGAACCAGTCATATACCCTGGGTTGTTGTATCGTCGGAGGGAGTTCTTTATGTGACTGGAGCCAGTCATACACCCTGGGTTGTTGTATCGTCTGAGAGAGTTCTTTGTGTGACTGGAGCCAGTCATATACCCTGGGTTGTTGTACCGTCTGAGGGAGTTCTTTATGTGACTGGAGCCAGTCATACACCCTTGGCACTTGGTACAATACATTTCCCTGTAAGAATGCATATAACTGGTGTTACTCGAGACTACTACTTTAACCAGAGGACAACAGGTACCATCAATATGGAGACTTTTTGCTAGCTTTTGAGGAAGAAAACTGAGCTAATATCGTCTTTTACTGAATGCCATGATAATGAATCTTTACCCAGATTAACCCAGAGATTAATAGAATAGATACAAGAAAGAGCAGGTAACTGAAGGAGCTTCAATAATTACTGTGAGCTGGAGTATGTGGAGGTCCATCCTTTCACACTCTTGAAATGCCTCATTACTTGTTTAGTCCAAAATTAAAGCAACTGTAATGGGAAATGATGACACTGTTTAGCATAGGCAGATCCTTCTCTATGTGTCAGCTGTTATAGACGTTATTGCCTCTTGATAATTGGGTATGGTTTGTGTGTCATCTCATTTTCTTTGGTTTGGTAGATGCTGGCTGTGCATCTTGTATTCTCACCATATAGCTTGTGTGTTTTCTCTGCATGAATTCAGTTTTCAATGTGATGTTTGAAAGGGTGAATTCATGAATGGATTGATGGATGTGTAGATGCATGCATTAATGGATACTTGCATGTACGGGTGGATGCCTGGAAGATTCAGTGAATGAACGAACGAACAAACTTTATTTTCAAATTGGGCACGCAGGCCCGTCTGACATTCGGCTCTTCTAAGCACTCATTTTTCAGAGTACTAATGCCTGTTATCAATAATGCATGTTATGGATATAATAAAGAAATATACATTATAGAATAATGCATACACACATCATGTGTACACAATCTTCACACTCACACACACGTATATATACATTCTCATACATGCACACTCATATACATACATTCCTAATACATACATACATACATACATCTACATACATACACAAACAGAAAACACACACACATTCCATACATACACACCTCTTTGCATGCATGCATAAACACACATACATTCACATGTACAGACACCCACATACACCTACACTCACATGTATACATACATACATACATACATACATACATACATACATACATACATACATACATACATACATACATACATACATACATACATACATACATACATACATACATTCATACATACATACATACATACATACATACATACATACATACATACATACATACATACATACATACATACATACATACATACATACATACATACATACATACATACATACATACATACATACATACATACATACATACATACATACATACATACATACATACATACACACACATACATGCATACACCTACATCTTTACACACATACATACATACACCTATATCTTTACACACATACATACATACTTGCATACATACCTAAATACACACACATACATGCACATACTTACACAGCTACATATGTATACATACTTCACCAACATACAAACATACTTGCATACATACACCCACATACATGCCTACACACGTTACATACATACACACACATGCATGCATACACACATATGCAATCACCCATACAGATACCCACATACATACATACATACATACATACATACATACATACATACATACATACATACATACATACATACATACATACATACATACATACATACATACAAACAAACATACATACATACAAACATACATACATACATACATACATACATACATACGCACGCACGCACACACACACACACACACACATATACACATCCATACCTGCATACATACTTGCATACATTATACACACACACACACCCACAATCACACTTACACTCGTATACAATCATACATAATTACAACATACATACATAAATACACACACTTACTTACAAACCTAAATATACATTCATATATCCACATGCATACACACACTTACTTACAAACCTAAATATACATTCATATATCCACATGCATACACACACATACTTACAAACCTAAATATACATTCATATATCCACATGCATACACACAGAGTGTATTTATGAGTGTGAATTCAATGATGCCAGCAATGAGAGTGTATTTATGAGTGTGAATTCAATGATGCCAGCAATGAGAGTATATTTATGAGTGTGAATTCAATGATGCCAGCAATGAGAGTATATTTATGAGTATGAATTCAATTATGCCAGCAATGAGAGTGTATTTATGAGTGTGAATTCAATGATGCCAGCAATGAGAGTGTATTTATGAGTGTGAATTCAATGATGCCAGCAATGAGAGTATATTTATGAGTATGAATTCAATGATGCCAGCAATGAGAGTATATTTATGAGTATGAATTCAATGATGCCAGCAATGAGAGTATATTTATGAGTATGAATTCAATGATGCCAGCAATGAGAGTATATTTATGAGTATGAATTCAATGATGCCAGCAATGAGAGTGTATTTATGAGTGTGAATTCAATGATGCCAGCAATGAGAGTGTATTTATGAGTGTGAATTCAATGATGCCAGCAATGAGAGTATATTTATGAGTGTGAATTCAATGATGCCAGCAATGAGAGTATATTTATGAGTATGAATGCAATGATGCCAGCAATGAGAATGTATTTTCGAGTGTGAATTCAATTATGCCAGCAATGAGAGTATATTTATAAGTATAAATTCAATTATGCCAGCAATGAGAGTATATTTATGAGTATGAATTCAATTATGCCAGCAATGAGAGTATATTTATGAGTATGAATGCAATGATGCCAGCAATGAGAACGTATTTTTGAGTGTGAATTCAATTGTGCCAGCAATGAGAACATATTTATGAGTGTGAATTCAATTATGCCAGCAATGAGAGCGTATTTATGAGTGTGAATTCAATGATGCCAGCAATGAGAGTGTATTTATGAGTGTGAATTGAATGATGCCAGCAATGAGAGTTTATTTATGAGTGTGAATTTAATGATGCCAGCAATGAGAGTGTATTTATGAGTGTGAATTGAATGATGCCAGCAATGAGAGCGTATTTATGAGTGTGAATTGAATGATGCCAGCAATGAGAACATATTTATGAGTGTCAATTCAATGATGCCAGCAATGAGAGTATATTTATGAGTATGAATGCAATGATGCCAGCAATGAGAACGTATTTTTGAGTGTGAATTCAATTGTGCCAGCAATGAGAACATATTTATGAGTGTGAATTCAATTATGCCAGCAATGAGAGCGTATTTATGAGTGTGAATTGAATGATGCCAGCAATGAGAGTTTATTTATGAGTGTCAATTGAATGATGCCAGCAGTGAGAATGTATTTTCGAGCGTGAATTCAGTGATGCTAGCAATGAGAGCATATTTATGAGTGTGAATTCAGTGATACCAGCAGTTACAGCGTATATCCTCGGTATGAATTCAATGATTCCAGCAGTGAAAGCGTGCCGAGCATACATATATTTAGTCCTATGAGTCCAGTGATGCCAGCAATGGGAGCGTACAACATAAAAGTAGAAACACCAAGAAGTGAGGTTTAGCCAAGCAGAAGATGGCTTGAAGCAGTCACTGATACTTTGAGAATCCACAACATCACAGCATACAGGGCTGCCGAGCTTGTGTTAGCTCAGATTCTGAGCAGTTAGCAACACAAAGCAGAATTTTGACAAACGAAAGAAATGAACTTTAAAACCTTTTTTTTACAAATATAAATGTGTGTGCCTGCCCGCCTGCATGTCTGCCTGTATATATCTGTGTACATGCATGTGTGTAATGTTGATCTGTTTGCTGTGTCTACAATGTTTTGATGTGCCTTGCTTGATTGCTCGCTTGTAGCCAACATTTGTAGACCCCTTGGCTGCGCTGACCTCATCTGTGCCTTTGGCTGCTGCCCCCAAACACTCACCCTCTCCGGGTATTGTACCCAAGAGAAATGTGGATGTGAGTATCTGCATGTTTGTTTTCTTTATGCATGCCTCTTCTCCCACTGTCATAAGGAGGAGTTTGTCACTTCTCTCAGTGTGTGTGTGTGTGTGTGTCTTTCTTCCTTCTTTAATCCTATATTTCATTATCTTAAACAGTTTGTCACCATCTCTCTCACTCTGATAGTATCACTGTTTTTACCACTACCCTCGCTTTCAAGGTCTCTCACAGCAACTTTCTCACATTATTTGTTTTGGGTGCTTTGCTTTGTTTTGTCATGTTAGCTCCTTCAGGGATTTGTTCCCACATTTATCTGCCTCTTGCCAACATTTTAGTTTCTGCACAAGTTTT